CTTGTGGTTCGTTCCGATCTGTTTGTTTTTTTGGGGGGTGATTGTATTTGGGAGGCGCTGTGCGATCTAGTCTGACTTCGCAGGCGTTTATGGGGGTGTGCGCCCCCAGCCGGCTGCCCTCGTGGATGCCTCCCGGCGGCGGCGGGCCCATGAAAGACTGCGAGTACAGTCAGATCAGCACCCACAGCTCCTCCCCGATGGAGTCGCCCCACAAGAAGAAGAAAATCGCGGCCCGGAGGAAATGGGAGGTGTTCCCGGGGAGAAACAAGTTCTTTTGCAATGGGAGGATCATGATGGCCCGGCAGACGGGCGTCTTCTACCTGACGCTCATCCTCATCCTGGTCACTAGTGGACTCTTCTTCGCCTTCGAGTAAGTGGTGGCTTCCAGATGCCCTGCTCCCCTCGCCTTCCCCTACCTCTACTTCGGCGACTTTCGTTTTCTGGAGTATATTGTTATATAATGCCAGCCCGCTCTCCCCGTTTTCCCTTTAAGGGACTGTTTGATTTTCAGCCCCTTCTCCCCCGGAATAAAGTCTTGAAGGGCAGGGATCCTGAGAGTAAGAAAGAGGGGAGCGTGGGCACGTGTAAGCTGTGCCAGGTCGCAGGCTCCTGAGGATTGGGTAGAACCAGGCAGGTGGGTTCCCTGCTCTGAGTTTGGAACTAGCACATCAGCCCAGGTACAGCCTTCTGGCGGAGGGGTGTGGGAATTTATTAGATGCGGGGGAGTGGAAGCAAACTTGACTTATCTTCCCCACGCCCACCTCCACTGCTAAGGAAGTGCAAGGCATCTTCTTAAACCTAGTTGGCTAAATCTTGTAGTCAGTTTGCAGAATAATGAGGAATCTCGGTTATTTTAGGTTGAAAGTGTGGGTTACCGGCAGTGTCCTGCGGTAATTTTATTTTTTCATTCTTCTTGTGTCCCTGATCACCAGCCTTTGGCTTACCGAGGGTGGAGCATTTTCCCTCTTAATTTCAAAGAAGTTCCCGTAGAAAATAACCACAACAGATCATTCGGGAACAGGTGAAAGATGCGAGGCCTGGAGAGGAAAATGAGGCACTTCATGCCCCCTCCCGATTCCAGAAACAACCCTTTGGGACTTTATCCTGGGGGTGGGAAATGTGAGTCTTTAGGAAAATCAAATTGGGTGTAAGCAAGCTCCTTCTGCCAGCTGAAGAAAGGTCTCATTCATTAGTAGCCATTAGGTAAAGAGTTTAGCCATACTCCAAATCAATAGCAATTGCTCTGATTGCATTACCCCTCCCCCATTCGATGCGCAATAAAAGTTACAGCCTCTACCCAAACTTTCAGAAAGAAGTATGTTAATGGACAGATTTTCTTTGCATTGCCCACATCCCATCTATTATAGGCATGATAATGTTTTCAGCCCTTTCTGTTTCTTCTGGACAGGGTAATCTAAAACCTACTATGTTTGTTTAGTTTTGTCTTTAACAAGTACTAGGCTCTGGTTTTGATGCCTCCAGCTCTCACCCTTTACTCCCTTTACAGCCCCCGCCTCCATTTCTGATTTTGGTCTCTTAGGTTAACTTTTGTGGGTGTTTGAGATTAAATTGATGGCATCTGTTGTGGGGGACCTGTGGGATGGAGGGAAGGGGTATGAGCTTTGTGTAGAATGCCAAGAAGTCATACTCTGTGGGGCCCCTGTTGTTTTCTTGGGTGCGCAGTCAGCCAGCCTCTTGTCCCTGCTGACTGGACTGGTGGAAATTGGGGGAAGGGGTGCAGGCCCCTGGTACACTTGTATTCTACATTTGGATGGAAGTAACGATGCCACATGTTTAACAGAAACGCCATCTCCTTTGCAGGGGCTTTAGTTACAGGTGGCTTTAGGTGGAGAGTGTTCAGTATGCCTCTCTTGTCATAAAATGCTTCCGGTAGACTTGTATTGGCATTTTAACTCTTTTTGGGGATTCTAAAGTGGGGACAATTAGATAATCTTTGTGTGGGAGTTAACAGAGCTTCAGCTGTGAGTGTGCTGCACACAGGCTGGTAACTAATCCCTTTTGATGCGCATCCAAACCTTCACTGTGTGCTGAGGGACCCCCCTGAGTTATTATGCTCTATCTTTTATTTTCCTGTTCAAAGGTAGCTTCTAACCAAATCGTCATATATTCATTTTCATTTCTTGATCTCTGTGTGTGTCTTTTTTCAAGAGTTCCCCAAAGTCCCCACTTGCAGCTTGTTAAAACCCTCTGCTGTGCCAATGTTGTGCTAGCTGAGGGCTGTAGGAAGAACCGTGGGCTCCGGGCTTTTATTAGACCCTATTTGCAGCATCATTTTATGTCAGTTCTACGGGAGTTGGGGTGCGTTTGTGTGCGCATGCTTACTCTCCACCACCAGTGTTGCTTCGACTAGACAAGCTGAAGCTTCAAGAAAGTAAGAGGCCCATCCTAGTGTTGTGCTGCAGTTGGGAAGAATCATAGGTCTGCGCAAACCTCGGCCTGTCATGGTTTGATTGGGCATTGCTATTGTATTCCATTGTCGTGGGCACTGACGTTGTCTTAAGTTTCTAATCACTGCTAGAGACAGAATGAAATCAAATTACTCGAACCAAGTTAATTTGCAAGAGACTCAAAAACCAGCTAGCCATGCACACAGGAAATGTGATCAAGAGGAAATGCCAATATTATCGGTTCCCACTCATCTTTTTCCTGGTCATCCTTTAATTATTCGTTGAACACATATTCTGTGGTTCCCTATTTTGAGTGCTTTGTTTCAAGCCTTGGTAGCTTTTCATGTGAACATTATGTCCGGCTTATGATTGTGGCAAAAGACCCTAGGAAAATAGCTGAAAGGAAGAAAGGTGGCTTTTGGCTCACGGTGTCAGAGGCGTCAGCCGCTGTTCATTTGGCCCACTGCTTTCACACCCAAGGAGAAGGCTAACATGCTGGCCAGCAAGACCATGTGCTTGAGGAAAGGCTGCTTCCTCCATGGCAGCTAGGAGATGGAAAGAAACAGAAATGGGCATCCCCACTTCTTTCCTATGATGAGGCCCAGTCTCCCACCACCTCCCAGTGGTGCTGTTGTATAACTTTGCCCTTTCGCCTCCTCGCTCCCAACCTGGAACAGATGGATGAGGAAGTGAAGTCCAGAGACGTGAACTCACCAGAGCTCAGCAATGGGTACTGGTGGTGACTTCAGCCCCCAGAGAATGGCAGAGGAGAGAGGATTGTTCGCACAGGAGAGAGGAAGAAAGCAGTCACAACATTAGCTGTGGGAAGGCTGCTGAGCACAAATCCGACTCTGCTTAGGTTCACACCCATCCTGTTTGCTGCAAAGCGTGGAATCTGGTTAGAAGCAGAACTTTCAGAAATGCAGATCATAAACTTCTCGCCAGCAGTGTGACCCTCAATAATGGGTCATTTTAAAATAAACTTTGTGTTGGTTAGGGTGTTATTATTATTATTATTATTTATTATCAAATCGACACTACCATGGATCACCTGAGGAAAGGAAACCTCATCTGAGGGATTGCCCAGATCACATTGACTTGTGACCTTGACTCTGAAATAGTGTCTTGATTAATGATCAGTGTGGGAGGGCCCAGCCCACTGTGGGTGGCCCCATCCCTCAGTTAAGTAAGCATGGGCTATCTAACAGAGAGTGTGAGTGAGCCAGCGAGCAGCATCCCTCCGTGGTTTCTGCATCAGTTCCTGCTCTGATTTCCCAGAGTGATGGACTGTCATCTGGAAGTCTAAGCTGAAATAAACCATTTCCTCCCTCAGGAGCTTTTGCAGTGGTTCTTGACCCCCCAAATACCACTGGAAAAGAGCTGTATACACTACGGTTCATAATAGTAGCAAAATTACAGTTAAGAAGTAACAACTCAAATAATTTTATGGTCAAGGGTCACCACAATATGAGGAACTGTATTAAAGGGTCGCAGCATTAGGAAGGTTGAGAACCACTGGGTTAGAGTGTTGTATCTTAGCAACAGTCTTCAGGCTATGTCAGGTTGAAAATGAAGGCCAGTTAGCACACCTTGACTTCCAAAATCTACAAAGTGTGATTTGTAATATCTAGCCTTACATGTTAGTATTAAAGGGGACAGTATTCTCAGGATGGTGTCTGGTGTGGAGCAATGCCGATTGCATAGTATATATTGTTACGTTAAACCTCCCAAGGAAGCCGTCTACCATTTGAGAGTCTTGAGGAAGGGTGCATGTGGGTTAATAAGCATGAGTGTTGAGATAGAGTTATTAGCACGGAGAAATTGGGGTACTGTGCAGTACCTTATGAGAACAGCGACCTTTATAAAAGTCCCTCGAGCCCATGTCAGCAGTGTCCCGGATCTCACCCCTGCAGAGTGGGCGGCCGGCAGGGGTGCTCGAGGAAGTGTCCCAATCCACACCCCGATTCCATCTCCATTTGGGGAGCTCTCATCTTAGAACTGTAGATCAGCCAAGAAACTACCCAAACCAACCAGCTGTAACACTTTGCTCTTTCCAAGCAGGTCAGGGCTGCTTATTTTTCTGTCTGCCTTTATTGAACATACGGAGCGCTGGTGGAAATGGCAGCATTTCATAGCTGGCATTTAAGAAGGAAGGAAGGGTCGCTGATGGCGGCACTGTCGAGACGTCTCCCTACTCCTCTAAGTTACTAAGAGTCTCCTCCAAGTACCGTCATTCCCACAGCCGCAGAACAGGGTTTGAAAAGATCAGTGAACACTATCAGTTCCTTTGATTCCGAATTATGCACACATGCATACATGCAGCCTGTTCTGTCATGGCTAAAAATCTGGAAGTGCAAAACCTTTGTTTCTAAATATTAGGATTTCATAGTTACTTTTCACAGGGAAAGAAAGAGGGACCTGAATGGGAAGCTGAGTATTTCAGGTGCTCATGTGAGGTGAGGGGAGGCCTACTTAGATACTAGGCATGATGTGTCTCCTTGTGACAGGTTGCAGGTATTGCTGGAGTCCAAATGTGAGGATTTGGGAACATTCTGAAAATTTTTGCTAGAAGGCCATTGACGTTTACTTCAAAAAGCAGTGTGGGGCCAGTGAGATGACTCAGTCAGTAAAGGTGCTTGCAGTCAAACTTGACAACCTGTGTTCAGTCTCTGTGACCCACACAGTTAGGGAGAACTGGCTCCTGCAAGTGGCTGTGTCCTCCAAAATACATGCCTTGGCGTGCATGTGTATGCACATGCACATACACATACACACACACACACACACATACACACACACACACACACACACACACACACACACACACTGAATAAACAGATCCTAAAAAGTAGCATTTCTCTCTCTCTCTCTATTTTTTCTCTGCCCACTCCTTCCAGAAACCTCTCCTCTTACTTCTTCCATCTTTTCTTGACTTCTTTTCTTGTTATTTTAGCTAACCCCC